GCCCATGTAATTGTAACCCCTCTGTACAGTATGTTCACAAATAAAATTAAATTAAAAAAAAAAAGAATTCTGGCTCGGGCTGCCTTCCTTCCTCGAACCTCAGCCTCTTGCCTAGCTAGGATTACACACACCTGAGCCACCCATGCTTGGCAGCAAAGACAGTAAATCCTTCTCCCCTTCCTTCCTCCCCGGCTCACAGACACACCCACTTCACCTTTGGATTTGGGTCCTGAGCTCTCACAGTCTTACTCGTGTTGTGTGTGCTGCCAGTTTCTCCTCCAGCGCTCAAGGATTCCGTGGTTTTGTCATACTCTTGACAGTTCAGCACTTTCAGGATAAATTCGCTGTAATCTATATGACCCACTCAGCTAAGTGCTTCCTGGGAGCTGATGGGATTCTTCTTTATCATTGGATTCTTGGTTCGACACAAACGGGAGGCCTCACACCTGTAATCCTAAGCTACTCAGTAGGCTGGGATCTGAGGATCGCTGTTTCAAGCCCATTCAGGCAGGAAACTGTGAAACACTTAGCCTCAATTAACTAGCAAAAAGCTGGAAGTGGAGGTATGTCTCAAGTGGTAGAGTGCCAGCCTTAAGCAGAAAAAGCCAAGCAAGTGTGTGATGCCCTGGGTTCAAGTCCCGGTACTGGCACACGCACATGAACATACATCCTCCAAAAACAAAAACAAAAACATGAAAACTACTGGGAATTAAAAGAATGGAATTCTATTCCCCCACACCCCAGACTTCTAGTTTTCATTGAAGCATTGCTTGCCATTCAATCTTTCACTACAGAAGAACTTGGAGATGAAAATGAAGACTGATGAAATCAGGAAGACATAAATGAGGTTTTGGGGCATGGCTCACATGGTAGAGCACCTGTCTACCAAGTATAAGGTGCTGAGTTCGAATTCCAGTATAGCGAAAATGTAAAAGAAAAAAGACCTCATGAATGAGTGTCATCTTCAGATCAGGCTTCTTGGTTCGAGTCTAGACATGAGTTGTCAAGATGTCTCTCGGCAGGAAGGACAGTCTCCTGCACTGCAATAAAACAGTCATCAGATGGCTATTTACTAAGTAAAACCTAACTGTTGTGGCAGTGTGCTGAAGAGCACCTAGTGGGCTATTTCTATCATAGCAGTTCTAGCTAGCACTGGGAAACTCTAGTCTTCACACTCCAGGGACCCCTCTGGGACCAGCTACCTCCGTTGACTCCACCACCACATTCATCTTTATTATTCATTATTAATTACTTTTGGGCCAGCACTGGGGTTTGAACTCACAGCCTGGGAACTGTCCCTTAGCTTTTTCAAAAAAGGCTGGTGCTTTACTAATACTTGAACTCAGCTCCCATTTCGAATTTAAAAAAAAAATTAGTTGTAGGTAAGAGTCTCACAGACTTTTTTTTTTTTTTTTGCTTGGGTTGATACCAGGATAGGATTTTGACTTTAGAAGCTTATACTTGCTTGGCTGGTGCTCTCCCACTTGAGTCAGGCCTCTAGTTCTGATTTTTGCAGGTGAGCTTTGGAGATGGAGTTGCAGATTTCTCTACCCTGGCTATGAACCCTAATCTTTGGCTCGCTGCCTCCTGCATAGCGAGGATTACAGGAGCCACCGGCGCCTGGCTGAGTCTTTTTCACTTTTTCAAGATGCTTTCCTGGCAAGCCGGCGAGAACCACGTGACACCGTGACGCGCCGCGAACCCACTGCAGACTCCCGAGTGTCAGACAAGCCGCACCAGGGTCGTCCTGAC